GATTGTAAGAGTGGAGAGAAAGTGAGAGATTTCTTCCTCCATGCTACTTCGAAGAGGAATTCTATGTGCTGTAAAGAAAGGAAGAGATTCAGAGGAACTTCGAGGAGTGTTCTTAGAGAGAAATTTAGAGATAAGTTATTTACTTGTTATAGTTTGTGTGGCTTTGATTTTATATTTGAATTCCAAGTTGTGTTGTGCTTTCCTCATGAGTTCTAAGTAGTTTTCTCTGTCTTCCTACTTGCCTCGAGATTTGTGAAATGGCGATTTGAATTGGTGAAGCCATAAAAAATGTTTAAAAAATTGTGATGATCTTTTCACTTCGATCTTAATTTACTTTCAATTTGGCCTGTTGATTTGTTAAAATATGTTGAGTTTTGCAACTAAAGTGAAGATTACATCCAAGATTCAGGGAGGTCAAAGCTTTTGGAAGTTGGGTGCAAATAAATAGGGAAATAATACTATCGGGCATAGAATTGGAGATTTTAGATTGACAGACTAAAATCCCCAATTTGGTCCTATCGTTTGGGTGCTGATGTGTAGATGTTAGCCCTCAGGTGAGGGGAACGTGGGAGCTCTGAAGTGAGAGCCTGTATCCTCCCAGCCTAGCCACAGATTCAGTAAACAGGCATAGGATAGGATTAGTCAATGTTTGTTATGCCTGGACCAAAAAATGTTTGTTATGCCTGGACCTATTTGACACAATACAAATTGAACTGATTCACTTTATCCATTCACTATAATTTCTTGACAAAGAGAAGGATGTTTTCTTATATATTGAATATCACATTAAAAACTAGTTATTATCCAAATTATCTACTTATTTCAATTGTCTATTAGTGACAGATAAGCAACTTGAACGTCATTGTAGTTGAAGTATTACTTTTTATTAAATCTTAGTCCGTAGTATTCTATTTCTCCCTGTGGGATCGATATCTAGGACTCCATTAGAGCCCTATATTACTTGAGCGATACGTATACTTGCGTTGACAATTCGACTTTAATATTATTGAATATTATATCTATACATCTTTATTAAATCAAACATATATATATAAAGTCGCAGTCAAGTTTTTAGCAACATTGCTGGAATTTAAATCTTCTAGTAGCGTCATCAATTTCTTGTAATTGTTGACTTACAAAGAAGGTCGGTCAAACATCAAAATCAATATCTCATCAAAATTAAAGCCACATAATAGGATAGTTTGGTAAGTCAACAAGTTTCTCATCAGGATCCGTGACATCCCTTAATTTTCTTCCTATGAATTCCTAAAATAAAATACTCCTATTTTGATCCATTCCCCATTTTATTTTCCATGTCGAACATGAAACCCTAAGTTTTGAGATTCTTGAAGAAAAATACCTCTGATCTAAATCGATAGTTTTTCTTAAATGACTTCAGTCATTTCAGATGTAATTAACTATAGGGGTTTGCCGCAATAAGGAGCTTTAAGAACCCACGTAATATAAACCCTATCAAATCTTTATATTTGATATGAAAACTTGTCGGTTAACATAAAAAGTTTTTCAGACCAAACGGATGTCATGAATTCATTAGTTTGTATAATCGAGCCCCACTATCTAGTAATGTGTATGTTCTTCATGATAGGTGTATTGCTAGCGGTGTTGTGCTCATTTATTTAAACTATTAAATGAATGAGATCTTGTTAGTCTCATTTTTCAAAATTAAATTGTTATTTTCCAAAATTAAAATATTATTTTTACAAAATTATATATGTATATATATAATTCAAAACAAAAATTTTCTAAAGAAAGGAACATTTCGGCGACTGACAGAGAGGAATGGGAATAATACAGGTGATAAAATTTGAAATGCATTGTATAAACTGAGCATGTTTTTTTTTTTTTATCATGAAATGCATTGTATAAACTGAGCATGTTTTTTTTTTATCACGGAGGCTAACAATCTGCTACCCACTGATGATATATTGAATCTTAAAGGTTAAGGATTCCTTGTATTTGTCTACTTTATAGAAAAAAGAAGGTATCCATGTCTCATTTATTATGTTGCCCAGTTTACTCAAAAGTTATTTTGAGGAAGTTGTCCCTCAAATTTAATATATTTATTCCTATAAATGGGTGTATTACTCTTCGGTAATGCTTGTATAACTTGGATGGGAGGGGAAGGGAGTTGATAGTTTTTTAATTTCTATGATTCCTCGCATCTATTTTTGGTTTCTTTGGTTGGAGATGAATGGGAGGAAGCATAAAGAGGAGATTTATTCCAATAGCATAATGTTGATTAATATTTTTTCCTCTATTGATAAAGATATGATATGTATTATTCATAAAGTAATGGCTAATGGTGGAAATACTAACCTGATGGGTGTATGCCTTGATCAGGAACTTGATGGTGGTATTCATAAAAGTTTAATGTAGGTGTGTATGATATTGAGAGAAATTGGAAGGAGGATTGCTTATTGTTTTTTTTGCTCCCTGTCTTTATATTTTGGTTTTATGTTATGAAATGATGGATGTTTTGTTGTGTCCAATGATTGAGAAGAATTTGGAGATGAATTTTTTGCAGATTGAAACGAATTCCTTACTTCATTTTAACATGTGTTATGGTGAAGCAATATACGTGGGAATGTATTAGGGTTTGGAACAGAATAAAGCAAGTTTTAAATGGTACTAAATTAAATAGGGTTTAAATTAAGCTGCTGGGTTTAATTAAGCTGGGTTTGGAAAAGCTTCCTATAAGGACAAGCCCTTATAGTTAATTACATCTTAGATAACTGAAGTTACCTAAGAAAACTCTCGATGAAAATCAGAGAATATTATCTTCAAAGCGGTTAAAAGGATAAGACTTTTCAATGAAATCGAACAAAGAGATGTGAAAGGGAAATGACTCAAATTTGGAACATTTAGATATCACAGACCGAGAGGAGAACCTCGGTGACTTCCCAAGCTACCCTATAGTTTGGCTTCAGTTGAGAGGAGAAATATTTAAATGTTTTATCCTATAAATTTTATTAATTATGGCTTACATTTGTGTGAAACGATCACACTAATAGCTTGAAAGATGTGAGGATTTAGGTCATAACGAATGAAAACCTCAGAATCCTAAAACGAGTTAGGGCTTATATTGTACAACAGAGCTATACAAAAGCTTAAAGAAAAGTTGAGGATTTATGTTGCATAAGCAAACAACTTCAAAATCCTATGACCTGTTGTTTAATTCTAAGGAAAAATATGTTGATGTAGATCCTCTTGCTGATGAAGATGGCTGTGCTGCTCACAATGCTAGCTCCAAACTCCTCGTCGTGATGAGTTTAAGTTTTCTAATGTCTCAGGTGATGATGTCAAATCAAATGTTTCTATGGTTATGGTTCTTTAAATATTTTGAGGCATATTACAGTTGATTAGAGCGACAACGGTTAGGATCCTACGGTTCCCTCGTTCCGACACCACTATTTTCTTTCAAATTCACTTAGTCCAAATGAATTTACTAAACTAAACTCAATGAGTTCGGTACTTTCATTTAGACCATGGGATATCTCGTTAGCAACCGTAGGTTATCTCCTCTGAGAGATTTCCGATCATCCGATAGAGACGTCTTAATTTAGTTGCAATTTTTGTTTTCTGATATTTGTGATTAAATTTTGAGTTGTCTTATATTTTGAATGTCGTAGCCGTGAATTTTATGAAGATAAATGCATTTGATTTTGTGGCTATCCTAGCAGTTTTGGTTTTAGTTTTGATTTTGTGGCTATCCTAACAGTTTTGGTTTTCATGTAATGTGACATCGTTGTTTAACATGCAAGCTCGAGACAAGAAGTACAAGGAGATAAATGCATTAATTTGAAAACATACCTGTCGATTCTTCTCGTTTTACCTCCTGAAAGGTCAGTACTTACAAGACATGTATATAATTTTGCAAGAAATTTAAATTGCAGGAGTAGATGAAGGTTTAACTATCAAACCCCAAGTTATGATTTTATATAATAACGTGGAGTAAATTTTACATGGAAGCTATCAGGGCTGCGAAATTTCTGGCCAAACAAGGGGCCGAAGCGGGGGGAACATGTCTTGGGACTACTTTGCCAGATCTAGTCAAATTTTTACATGGTGATAAGTTAAAGTTACTTTCTAAAAGATGTAGTTGATGATTTTATTTTATTTTTATTCATTTAAATTATTTTTTTATTTTATTTGGGTGTGTTGTAATTTTGGTAGAGGATCCATAGATTTTATATTTTGGCAATCATACATAGGAGTAGTTGGAACATCTAGCCAACAATAAGTAACCATTTTTCTAATATGAAGGAAAAAAATAACTAAATATGGATATTTTACACTTCTATATAAGTACTGAATAGATTAAATCAAGTATCTTTTTTATTTTTATCAAATTGCTTTCAAATGTGATAAATTTTAGTATCAAAATATCTCTATATAATTTTGCAAAAAAAAACAAAAAGTTCGCCGGAGTTTGCCTCCTGATAGTTCCAACCATTTCAAATATTGCTAAAGCAAAATTGGATTTTTCTTAAATTTTCCAACGAAGCATGAATTTTTCCTTAAATATTCAAATCCTTAACCAAAATGTTCTCTCATAGCTTACATGCCATAGACTACTTTAACTATTACTTTTTTTTTTAAGGAAAAATCATAGAGCCAGTAACTTGCATCTGTAATCCTAGAGACATTTTTTAATTAATGCTCCACTCACGCAGAAGAAATGAAACAAAGAATTTAATTTCAAAATGAAGAGCACCATACCTTCCTTCATCAAATTAACTCTCTTCATGGAGAACACAGAAAGAAAGTCCAAAGAAAACAAGAATAAAATGGCCATTTGTGCACTACAATTCCAAATTCAGTAATACCTTATTTGCTATTACATGCTAGAAGTAGATTACAGAACCTTAAACCTCATCTTACAATTATGTGAAGTCCATTTTCTTCATTTTCCTTCAAAAGTTGCATTGAATAAAAACTATGTATGTTATATTATCTCGAAACGATCTCATGAAGTTTGATCATTCATAACAGCCATTTTTGTGTTCAGAGTTAGAACAAGAAGCTGACTCACTAGGCTGCAATGCCAATAACTTGTCCAATAACTTCCAGTCTATTATGCAGTTAGTTTCAAGCTGTGGGATCTCGATTACATTGCGCTTCTCCTTCGATTCAGTCTCAATTCCAAATCCATGCAATGTTTCATAACTAAAGCTGGTTTCTGTCCCCATTGGAGCGCATTCATAACGGGTTTGAGCTCTAAGTAAATAGCTTGGATTGTAAATTCCAAAACATTGCCTTGGATTCGGACTTTGTTTTTTGAATGCTCGGCATACAACCCATCCTTCTTCCTGCAATTCATGGCATGTTTCTCAATCACATTATGTGTTGCGAATATGGAAACCGGTCCACTGTTCAATTTGACATTTTCTCATGTTTGACAATAAATTAGATTTAATACTCGAAATTAATTGCTTCTATGATTTAGTATATAGCTTATGCGATTAAAAATGGGACATGGTTCAATTTCATGGGAGCGTCTTTTTCTCGTACTTTTAAATCATAATATAGTGAGTGTAACATCCTAAGTTTTGGAAGATTAACTATGAAAGTCCTTAAACTCTATATTTTATCATTTATTTTGTTGAACTAAATGATAATCAAGGAGTAAATAATGAAGAAAAAAAAGAGACGAGTAATGATCTTGAATTGATTAAATTGCCTGAGAATTAGGTGCTAGTTCATTTGTATGAAGTCGATATTCATGCATGATCCAGTCTGACTTTCTGCCTTGTGGCGCTCGGCCTTCATAGAAGACAAGTGTCTTCCTCATTCCAATTACTTTAGAAGACTTAGAAAAAATGGCCTTGTCTCTCCCAGTTGCTTTCCAGAATCCAGAAGCTGTGGCCCTATTTGTGCGAGTTCCGCTTGGATACTTTTTATCCTTATGACTGAAGAAATACCACTCATTTTGCTCCTCGTACCCATGCTTGCATCTATCTGCATAAACAAAGGAAAGAGGTTTGTAGACATATTCTTGTTTAGTACCATACAATATACTTCTAGATAATGAAATTAATATGGAGTATTTGTTAAATTGGGAACTTCTATTGGTATATATTTGACTTGAATTATATGTTATTTTAGAAATATAAAAATGAGGAAATCTTTCACTTCATTTTTTTTTTCTTGTTTAGTGTCATATGTCTATACATGCATACGTTGGAGCTCCATGAAGAGAGTTAGATTCACATGTCTATACATGCCACAATTATTAATAATTAATTTATTTAAAATATTAATATATCAATTACCTTGGAGCTCCCATGGCTCAATTTTATAGAGGTCTATGTCTGTGATAACCTCCATATCAATCCTCTGGCAAAAAATTTTCCTTGTTAGGTAGTAACCCACAAGCTCCTCTTCTGTTGGGTGGAATCTAAAACCTGGAGGGACACAGGACTCCACTTCCATTTGCTGGCCTCTCCTGAGGGTGTGAAGTAAACGCAAACAAATTAGAATGTGCCAAATAATGGTAACATATATGACTTCCAAGCAAAGCAATAGATGTTGTATATTTCACAGTACAAAGTTTGCATTTGAAGTGAAAAGGTTAATAAATTGCCAAATTAGTATTATTAATTCCTAAGAGGCCATGTGGAGTCATTTTTTATTTTATTTTATTTTTTTAATTTTAATTTTATTTTATATTGTTAATGTTTTGATTTGAAATGAACAGAATGATAAGCTAAAAAAGCTTATATTATATTTTTGAAATGCACATAACTTGTAAAATTTAGAAAGCAAAAATAGAAGTGATAATATTTTCATAATAACGGTGGTCATGATAGCTAGCCTGACTAACTTTTTATATAATTAATTTGTAAATTTTAAATAAAGCAGGTTGGGTCTTGTTGACCACTATTCTTATTGCTGCACCCCAACCATTTTCTTATTGTTTTAGTTACCACCTTTTTGCTCGTAGCTATATCCATGTGAATGAGATAGACAGCCATTCAGCAACCACTTTCAAAGTGTTCCGCCATTTTTATTGACTTATGTGTTGCAAGCATGCTCTTGTTTCTTTTACTGCACTTCAGGTTCAAATTGAAGGAAGAAATCACTCAATCAATAAGGGTGAGTTTGGGACAACTTGTGTTTATTCAGATAAAAAATTTATCCTGAAATGTGGCACGCGGGTCGCCCGCGAGATTTGATCCGCGGCTTGCGTTTAGCGAAAAAATCCAACTTTATTTTTGGATAAGCTACTGAAACGTGTTTTCCAAACGGTGAGGTGGCATTTTCAATGAATAAGAATGAGTTTGAGGCAGCTTGTGTTTATCCAGATGAACAGTTTATCCTGAACTGCGGCCTGTAGATGGCCTGTGAGGTTTGACCCGCGGCCTGCGTTTAATGTAAAAATCCAACCGTGTTTTCGAATAAACT